CACAGAGAGAGAGAGAGAGACGGGAAGAGAGAGGCCGAGCACGCAAGGAAAAGTGTACGACAGAAAAGGGAAAAGAGGCGGCAAAAAAACAGGAGCCAAGGGTGCACTGGAGATATGAAGACGAAGACGTAGGGAAACCAGATGTGTGATATGTTGCTGCTCAGGGGTGCAGTCAGCATTGCCAAAAATACCGAAACAGATGCCATAAAAACACCATTACGCAACGGATATGCTTTATTTCATGGCCATGGGTCGGCCTATGAAGAAACAGGAGGAGAGGAAGCGGTTGTAAGAGAAAAACAGATAACACTGTTGTTACTGAGACTTTGTTATTATAGCTACTAATTTATCATTCATGAACACACGGCACATTTAAGTCTTTGCCGTTAAATGCTGGACGGGGGTGGATCTAATCTGTTGACCACACAAACTGCAGGGACTGAAACCATTTCCACATTGCTTTCTTCACCGTTTCTCTATACTTAAGCCTATAATGGTGATGTACTCCTTCAACTCCTTTGCCACCTTCAAAAGCCACTTAACTGCAGAGGCTTTTTTTTCGGTTCTTCGTCATTGGACCTGCTGTTTACCACTGGTAAGTTCCCTGTCCAACCATCAACACCACACCTCAGCACAACACAAGGGTTTCAGTCAGCACAAGGGTCATTACCCCGGGTTTACATTGTGTCCTCAAATAGAACTTGGTATCCGTTTGTAATAGGAGAATAATCCCGTGTTATTTTAACTCAGGCTTTCAGTTGGTGTTCATAACCCATATTTCATGTGGTTCCTCCACTCTCTCGTCCCTAATTTGGTATAAACTCTCATAATCATGAGAGTTCATAATTAAAAAGGCATGAAATGTGTTGAGCAATAAACCGGTCACCTCGAAAATGTTGGTAATAAACCAACATTAAATGGAGTTTGGGATACCTCTTCAGACAGGGTTGTTAATTGTTTTACTTCTTAACGGCCAGGAATCATTACGATCAGATGCTTAGTATGTCCAGTTAACATAAATGCATTCACTCTTAAAATGGACAACAGAAGCTGCTAAGGTGGATCTTTTAAGCATTTCAAAATATAACTTATATCGGCAAACACAAAGGTTCTCACAGTAAACAGGTGCAGACTGCCGTAAAGGTGCAGATGAGGTGGCCGAGATCTCTGCTGCGTCTGTGAAGTTAGCGTGGCACACAGAAGGATGTGCCAATAGTCTCACATACATTTTGCTCTAAGCAAGTACAGCGATTGTAGTGTATTTTAGCTTATAATGAACTAATATTTCCATAACTGAAATGATTAAGAGTGGCTTAAACAATCTATACTAGATAGATTGGATACTAGAATAAATAATTTAATTTCGTATTTTTGGAGATTCATAATTATAATCTCATATAAACTAAAATACATTTGGTGGACATATTAATTGTGCAGCCGTAGATTTAGGGAGGCGGGTTAAAAATAGTGTGGTGCAGAAAGATTTCTGTAGGAATGAGAAGAATTCAGGATTACACCATTTCCCGGATGTGTTTATCCAGGGGAAGAGCTGTGTAAACACTTTCTATTTACAGAACCGTATCACATCTGCACTAAAGCCTGAGATGTGCCATACTGCCTCTATTATACTGTATGCTAAGAACTACACTAAGTTTCAGTACAAGAACAGTACAACTCCAGTAATAAAGGACTTTACGCTAATCCCTTATCACAGGATCAGTTGTATATATAGATAATGTATTTTATAACTGCATCATTACTGACATAAATACTTTCCTAAAACATTAAAAGACTGATCCAATGTCGTGCTTTGCTCGTATTATGAATGCCTGATGCTGTATTATTACAACATCATTATCCATGACCTTTTGTTTGCTTTGGTTTGAATCCTCTACCTTGTTGCATGTTATATGCTCTGTTACACTTCTTGTAATATTGTCAGTGAGGGGTCACCCTGCGAAAGGAGATGGAACATTTAAAAGAATTCCCAGTAAAACCATTTCAACTAAATCAGTTGAGTTAAATTCATTTTAGAATGTGTCAACTATAAAAGGACAAGAGCCCATTTGATTAATACAAAACCCAGATAAGTTACTGTTTACAAAAGGCTTCTTCAAAGAATAAAGGGGCGCGTTTGCCAAAAAAGTTCTCCTGCTATTCATAGGTCTTTCACCCTACAGGGTTTCCTGTCCTGATCAGCAGGGGCAGGCGGACCGTCTCATTACGGAGACCGCGGACGAAAATGAGAGCAAAATGAGGCCCATTACCACGCGGGCGTGACTAATATCCCTCTGCAGACCTCTCCACACCCGCTGGACGCACGCACGCTCATCACATGCACACACGCAGGCAAAGCTGCATGTCGATCAATAACGTCGCAGAGAAACCAAGACGACGGGAAGTTGGTAATAAACTTTGGCTCTATTAAATTTCTGGTGGCTGTGGGGAGGGGGGGGGTGTGTCTGGCACTTTGGTTCATGTGCATCTATAGGTCTGTGGGTCTGCGAGTCAGAGTGTGTGTTTGTGCGTCTGTTTGTGTGTATTTTCCTTAATCATCCATGATGTCATTAGCGCTAAATGCAACTCCGCCTAATTCCCTCCCACTAAAAGTCCTACCTTCTCTATTCCCTCCCTCACCATCGCTCTGCCGAAGCTTACATCATCTGAGCAGTTGAGTGATATTTCATCTCTCGCATGCGTATCAAATGTCCTGAAAAATATCCACTCTGCTCTTTTAATTCCTCAAATTCCCTGAGCAGATGCTGGACATCGTAATCTCAAACTTCTAACACACCATTAGTTTCGCTTTTACTCCAATCCTCTGCACTCAGTTTACCTCTACTTTTCTCACCTTTCGCCTTCCATACAGTCAGACCTTCACCTATATATATATATATATATATATATGGCCCCCCTCTAACGATACCTTTCAATTTGTATTCATCAACCAGCCTTCGTGTTGTGGCTTAAATCCAGGTTTCCATACTATTTGAAAAAGATCTAAAACATAACCACGGGGGATGCGTAATGCCCAGCGGTGTCGTCGAGTGTTGTTTTTCATGTTCCACTCTCGTTGCCTCTATGCTCTATTTGCATCTTCATCTCTTGATTCCCCCAAACTTCCCCGTCTCCCTGTCCTCCTGTGTTTTACACACCCATTATTCTCTCCTCCAGTACTGATGGGGTCTGCTGCGTGATTTAAAGGCTGGCAGACGAAGGGAGGAGAAAGGGTGGAGAGGGTAGATGAAAAGGAGGATTGAGCGGAAATTGGACTGTGCGACGTTTGAAGTACATGAAGGAGAAATATAAAATACACCTGGCCCATCCGGGGGGGGGGGGGGCAACCTCTGTACGCAGAAACAAAGGGGAGGCGGGGAGACGCAGGGGAGCAGAGAGGTGAGGGCTCGGCCGCAGGGGGAGACGGGTGGATGGAAAGGGAGGTGTGTGGGGTGGGGGGGGGGTCACTTTGGGTTTCCTTTCAGGATGGCTTTTATGGTGTAACTTCAAACACTGACCTCCCACAACCCGGCCCCTACACCCCCCCCCCAGCTTGCTTCATCCGTCCGTCCATCCGTCCCTCCCTCCTCTTTCTCACTATTGTGTATGACCAAGTGGACAGTAATTGGCTATTCTTTCATGAGGCTGATTTCAGCACTCTGTGCCCCCCCACAGGAAGAGGCCCCCTTTGCTGCCCCTTAGAAGTAAGTGCATTTGTGTGTATGAGTGTGTACGTTGTAAATATGCCAGACGATAGGTATCAGGTGGTTGAAAGGGCGGCTGCACCGGCTGCGGACTCTGCAGGCATTTCATTTCAAGCTGTGAGCGATCCAAATTGCAGCAGTTATTGTAGGGAATCTAATCCAGAAATTCAAGGATTTCCGAAATAGTCCCTGGACTGCAGGCGCAGGTTAAACAGGTACACCTTTGCTCATGAATAAAATATACATTAGATCTGCTGAAAGCTGTGGCGCAAACTGGGTGTCGGGGGAAAATGTAAATTCCTAAAAAGTCACTGGATATGTACAATCCTCTTGGTAATGATTTGTTTTTATTATGTGAAGATACCCAGGGGCACTTACCTTACTTATTCATAAAGTTAAATAAATGGAGCCCTTGAAAATGCTTCCCTTACTCTACTATCACTGTGCATGTTGATGGCGATATGTAAAAGCTGCTTTGCTGCTAGCTAATGCTAGCTAATGACTTCTGGCCCCTCAGTGGCTTATAGATCAGTGTGCGCTCATTAATGATGCAGGCGTGTGTGCAAGTGTGTGTGTCAATTACTCGGGGGAGGGGGGAGGGGGGCGCAGGGATTAGCCGTCCCTTGAGAGAACTAATTGGCACTACACACACACGGGCACAACCATCTCTTGGGTATGTTTTATTGGGCAGGAAAACAGTTTGAAATGACAGAATGAGGGAGAGAAAGAGCGATGCAACAAAGACTTCAAGGCCGGCTGGAGAGCCAGAACGTCGAGGCTAAATGGTGCCAGACAAACACAGACGCAGTCCTACACACACACACACACACACACACACCGGCCACACAGAAACATTGGAGGTGATGCCACGTACGCACGCTCTTAAAAGGTTAAGTGTATGCGTGACATAACTTCAGGTAAACACAGACTTAAGCAAGTACAGGGCAGTCTGTTCTCGTAGACACAAGACATAAACAGAATGGGGGGGAGGGGAGGGGGGGTAACTATGTTGTCAGATAAACAAAAACCTTTGATGATTCACAGGTAATTCAAATGAAGAAAACCCCAAATGGGCAGCAAGGCAGAAGAGACTCCCCAGAGTTAACGTAGACCAGCAGGAAGGTGGATAGACGCGGCTCCTACCTCTTTGTAGTTCACCTTGGGCTCGGCCCTCTTCCGCTTTCTGCCCTTCCTGAGACTCCACTGAGAGAATTCCATTTCCACCTGCGGAGGAGAATGCCGGTGAAGCCGGAAAAGTAGTTGAGCCGAGACCGAACTAAGTTGCCACTTTATGAGACGGACATTCGACGGGGACGAGAGAAACGGCGACGGGAGAAGAAACCAGAAAGGTGAAACAATGAGAGAAAGGTTGATAGCAGAGAGTAAATATAAAAAGAGCTCAGGCTCACTTTTACACACACACACACACACACACACACACACACACACACACACACACACACTAAACCTTTCAGCGCTCACTTGTCCTCCGCACACTCACACAAGCGTCCGGCTGAGACAAAGGGGTAATAGTGAAAGTATGTTGCGGTGACTCCGTACACCACAGCAGCACAGGTCTCCATTATACAGCCCGTCGCTATCAAGGCCAAACTCTATCTCTTCCGCTTCACTTTAGCTCAGAATAAATACCACAGTTTGTTTACAGAGTGAGGTTTCCAAACCCTTAAACAGCACATGAAGTGGAGTCATTTCCCAAGATGCAAAGTCACTCCGTCATTCTTTGTGTTTCAAGGTCTTTATAATACATTTGAGGGATGTTGTCTTTTTCAATTTATTACAGTTTAACAGAGAGATGAATGGGAACAATGGGGACAAGCGATTAAGGACAACATGGGAGCGTAATGGGAAATCTGATAGAGAGCACAGAATGACACGCAACAGATGCACAGCGCCGTGTGCCGCACTTCACTCAGAGGCAGACGGAGGGAGAGCCTGATACGGGCAGCGAGCGAGCAAAAAACGAGGTTGATGGAGCAGAAGAGAGGCGGAGATAAGAGATGGAATCAAACATTGTGAAACAGAGCGTGTGAAACCATACAGAGAGCGGAGAAAAAAACTGAGGGGAGGGAAAGGGAACAATCGGAGGACCATCTCATCGAGACGTATCAGGGGCAACGTTTCAAATCTCGGAGCTGTCTGCCACTCCCCGAAGACCAGAAGAAGAGAGTGGAAAAGAGAGAAGAGAGGGAACGGGAGAGAAGGCTTACCTCTGCTTTGACTTCCTCCACCAGCCTCGCCTCCGACCACACGGCGTTCCTTTCATACAGCCACTGAACGACACAGAAGAAGGGGAGGCAGTGAGCCGGGGGCAAGTGATCGGGACAGAGTGGAATGCTCTGCCGAGAGAGAGGGGGAGAGAGAGAGAGGAGCAGGAAGGGGAGGGTGGGAGGAGGAGGAGGAGGAGGAGGAGGGAGCCTGATCACTTGTTCCTCTGACGGAAACTCGCAAATTGACTCTGGAGGATGAGAGAAAGGAGGAAGACTGGAGGAGAAGAAAAATAAGAGGAGGAGGAAGAGGAGAGTAGCAATTTAAGGATGGACGGTCACCTCAGTCCTCCTCACACGCAGTCCACTCCCCGATCAGACGACACAAACACACACACACACACACACGCATCTGAAGAGCCGTGCGTGCGAACACACACACGCATGCACCGAGAGCAGCAAGAAGGCGCAACACGGAGCACTTACTCTCTAACCTTATCAAGGCTTTCAGCAGAGCCACTGCTCGAGTGACGTGAATCACCTATCGGAGAGATGATGGTGAGAGTTGTGTGTGGGTGGGTGTGCGTTTGTTGGGGTGGGGGGGGGGGGAGAAAAAAGACGCGGTCGGGAGACACACATACGAGAGACAGGGTTTGAATGGAAGCAAGGGGTTTGTCTCTCTTACACACACACACACACACACACACACACACACACACACACACACACACACACACACACACACACACACACGAGAGACAGCATTATTGCTACACAATCTCGGCTAGACACTCCACATACGTTCCCACGCACACCCATGCAGCGATTCAATGCATTGCGCTCAGCGTTACCATAGCCACACACAGCCCTCAATAACAGCATGCCTGAGTACTCGCCTCGGAGTATTATACAGGTACTCTGGCAGAAATAGCATGAAGGTGTGTGTCAAAGTCAAGGAGGGAGGGAGGTGCTGTTGGACGCACAGAGGTACGGAGAAGGGGAGGTGTTGTGTGCTGGGTCAAATGTAGTGAGTGCTGAAGCAGTAAATTGCCATTGTGTAACCGGATACCGCACATTGGTCTTTTGCTGCCTCGATCCCCACCACCATTCTCTGTCTACCAAAAACGTCTGTGTAGGGAATCAACATCAGATTGGGTGTTGCACCTCTTGCTCATGAACATGCATGAGAAGTGGGCCCATCATCTTCGTAATTATGTAGGCTATTCTTCAAAATATTATAGATGTAGATATAGCTGTGAATAAAACATAAGTAATGAACTGGTATTAATACTAAAGAATTAACCCTTTCAATAGTACCTTCATTTATTAATTAATTTTTCTAATAAAAAAGCACCTAAATCTAAGGCATAACCTATGCTATTCAAATGTGTGAAATGGGGGCTTCCTGTTTCAAGGTGAAATTGTATTTCTGCCTGGAGAACGTTAAAAGTGTCTAAAGTTGTTAACTATATTAAAACAGTATACAATTATGCCACAAAAAAAGATGTGATTGATAAGCCAGGCAGAAAAAGAAAACTATAAAAACGCTCATGTAATTCATAGGATTTGGCAGAAGGCATCAGCTGGTGAATCAAGGGTACCCTTTATTTACAACAAAGTCTCAGCCTAGATCCATCGTCCCAAAGGGAATGCTTGCTCAACTAAACTCTGAGGTCTAAAATAGGTCGGCACTGGCCTTCCCATTCCACATCTCTTACAGTGAATGTCATTGTTTATTATTAGGCCAAACCATTTCCTGCCTTTCTCCAATTCAAGCATTGTCCAGCGATGGCCAGGAGGCCGAGAGGAGAGAGGGAGAGACTTTAAAAATGCATTTGTGTCTCGCGTATATATAACGCACGAGCACTTGGTGCACTCAGTAAAAGGTTTCCATCGATCTGACTGATCTTATTAGCTGGTGACTGGCACATCAAACACAAGAAAAGCTTCTGCAAGAACACTCAAGCCGTCACCCAATCAGGTGTGAGAAAACAGTGGTCCCTTTACGCGGTTCGTCCCGCCCTCAGAGGCCCACAGAAAGGCTCCGGTTACATCATCACATAATCTAGAAGGTGAAGATTCCCAGACACAGAGTGCAGGAACACGAAAATGCACATTCACACCGTGGCGATTAAGATCAGTTGCTATGGCGATGGGAGCATCGAAGAAGCCGTTAAAGTGGATTAATTGTGGGAGCCTCGCAGGCCGACTATCTGTGACCGGGGGTCTTTCTCGATTAGCGGGCAGAGAAGCGCTGCTCACCTCGTCGAGATACAGTAACAGTCTGGAGACAGCGGGGATGATAACGATCCAACGCGACGGCGATGTGAACCGCAGCGCTTTCAACAGCCAGTGACGCCTTACAGTTCATCATCATATCATTTTCAAAGCCGATTTGAAAAACTTTCCTCACGTTGAGCAACAAATACGCCATCATCATCATCATTGTCTACCATTTTCAAAACGCCTGCTGGCTGGTGGCCACACATCATTTAATTTGTAGTATTTATCTGCTGGAAGCGATCTTACTTCTAATATGAGACATAATTGCCATTATGAGAGCGTCATTACACAGCTATTTACGGCTGGTAAACAGTGAGACAAATGTTAGGCCACTCCTGCCTTTAAAGAGCAAATGCTGAGAGCAGAGCCCCCCCCCCGAATATAAAGAGGACCTGTCATTCAGCGGGTTTAAACTGGGACGCAACGTATACACCTACATTAAAATGTAGCCAAACTACATTGACGATGAAGTCAGTGTGGTTTTTGGAGTGTGGCTTTCATAGCGACTACAGGCAGAAGGCTGTAAACTGCTAAATAGTAAGAACAGACGGAGCGGAAGAAGAAAAAGAAAACTAAAAACAGAAGTCCCAATGCACTTTAAGGATCGACAAGGAGGAAAACCTACGGCAGCAATATGGGATTGGTCTGGATCTCTTTTAGTAAGTCAGGAAATAACGTAAGTGAGTAATTAAAGTTTAGACAAAGCTTTGCAATCAGCAAGTTCAAACCACAACTACAAACTATTCTCTATAGCCAGAAATCCACACAGGACCACACACTATAAAAGATATCCCCCTGTGCATGCATGTGCCAAGTATGAAAGGATTGACTTGAACACCTCATTACCTCATATGATAAAGAAACAATAAGTAGCAGGAACATGACTAGAGCAAATGCTTATGCATATGCTTATTTTATAGATGATGATGCTGTGAGCTCAGCGGAAAATAAAAAGAAACATACTGACCAAAACTAATAATTGGTCCAAAATCAATAGCACTGAATGATACGGAGTTATTTTCTAATTATGCAATTATTGTGATATTTAATTGTACACATTACACTCAAGTGTAAAAGTTTGCTTTGAGACTTAATCGACTTAAGCGTTTAACATTTAACTTGATTATTAGACCTGTGAGTGTTTTGCTTTATCTGAAGATGTATAATAAACTTTAAGCAATATATGACATTGTTATATTAAAGTAAATATCAAAAGAAAGACTTGTCATACCTTTGGAATTCCCGGTCGATCGAGCCAGTCAGCATAAATAGCACCGAGGGTGAGGCCTTTTCTGGAACACAATGGCTAAGTGTTATTAGTATTATTCCTATTATTATAGCAATGACTGTTATTGCCCAAGACAACCTATGAGTACATGGCTCTGGAAAAAAACATAGTTGGGCACACGGTGGACATGAGAATTAGGGAAACACCTTAAACACAAAGAGGGGCACACCCGCTGCCCCACCCGAGGACAAGCTAACAAGCGTGTACAGACAATGCGTTGGGTTTATAAGTGTGAATTTATAGAGAGCGTGTGTGTGCACATTACGCTGTGAGTGCGGCGCAGGAGAGGCTCAAGTGGACGTTGTGCACGTGAAAAGAATATTCCATGGACAGAAAACCAATGGTGACAAAACTGGTTTGCAAAGTCAAATGTGTGCAAAGACACACACACACACACACACACACACACACACACACACACACACACACACCCAAAGCACTGTGCAAGGTGTGTTCAACGAGCATTAAGCAAGTATTCAACAGGGTGAGGAGTGACTATAGTCCAGTACAACGTCTATTCTTGAGAAAGTCTTTTGCCTTTCGACTCACAGGGTGAACTAAAAAAAAAATGATTGGTGGTTGCTTCAACACTTCATTGGAGACCACCTCGCCTTTGATTTGTAGTGCGTCAGGCCCGTCACAGAGGACTTTGAACTGGGTACTAGAAGAGCTCCGGCACTCGGCACGTGGTGTCATCTCACGCATCAGCAGTCAGAGAGCATGAGGTGGGATTACACGGTGTTATGTGAGCATAGCTAGAGCAACAAAAGGTTAATACAGTTAATACGCCACATGGCCTATCAAATACTCTTCATAATAGGACTGGATAGAAATAAGCTTTATGTTGCACGAGAGCAGACAAGACGTGTATCTACCAGTTTTATTTAAGTTGATCTTTTTGGGGAATTATGCTTAGTGGGGATAGATGAGACAGAGCGACGGCGATGCCTGGAAAATAGTAGTTCCTTTTAGCGAGATATTTGCTCGCTCGCGGAACGTGACCTTCATTTCTCGCGAGGCTAATCTCTGCGAGCTGGACGCATCGGTCCGAATGTGCCGGCAATGATGGTAAATTATGGTTGTAGCTGTAACTACGGTTACAGAGAGGTGTCGATTGTGTTTTGACAACGTTTTATCTCATAACTTTGACTTTCTATCCCCTTTCTTTAGTGCGGACATTGGCTTCTATAGTTGAATGAATGCATCACTCCAGCCAATCCAAAGACGGGGTTTGTAACCAATTAGATGTAGAGACCATGGCGACTGGCCCCGCCCCCTTACTGTCAAAAAGAACAACAGCGAGCGCGTAGAAAACGCCTTCGAGCGCGAGCACAGATTGGCCTAGCGAGCGAGGAAGTTCACAGACTTTTGCTCCCACGAGACGGACCTGACTTGCGGTTTCGAATTTTGACAGTGATTTGCCGCCATAAAAGTTCCACATTTATTCGGGGAATGGGCAGGATACCCGACCCTGCACAAGTGAGTGTCTATTCTTATCCTGAACCTTTGAGCGGGTTGTTTACTGAAAGAGGCATCGGATCCAAATATTGACCGTCCCCAACTCCCCCGGTTTAATTCAATCAATCTGTGCTGGTCCAGCGGAACACTCAACATGACAGAAAAGGCAAAAATACAACATTGAGAGCAGACAAAAGGGCACTGAGGTAAATAAGGGTGAAAAGGGGATTGAAAAATAAAGTGAAAGACAGAAAGAGAAAGAGAGAGACGGAGAGACGGGCGGGAGAAGAGGTTAATGAAGCAATCAGGGGAAATAGAGAAGTGAATGATTAAGAAAGCGCAAAGTGGGGGAGAGAAAATTAGAGAGGAGGAGAGCAGGAGGAGCAGTTATCCTCATTCACTTCAATTAATATGAGAGTGGATGAGACTTCTCTAACCAGATTTCTCAACAATGTTTCTTCAGCAGGACCAAGAAGAGGCCCAAATCAAAACATGCAGACATATTTGACATCAAATTCAGTGACAATTTCCATCTGTCGATTAAAAAAAAAAAATGGTAATACTAGATTTAAACAGAAAATGTATGAATAACAAATCTTTAATTTGTCTGGAACTGGACATCAGGCTAATGATACTTGAGCAAAGGCCAAAGTGATGTGAATGGGTCTAGACATTTTTTATTATTCATGAATTACACTGAAAGCATTATTCATAGCCACTTACGTACCTCTCCATGTTGGGAAATGTAACCAGCAGCATTTGCAGGAAATCCTGTCAGAAACGAAACAAAAAGACACGCCGAAAAGAAGGATTTTAGAGAGGTGCGAGAGACAGAAAGAAAGAAAGAGAAAGGCATAGCTGATCTTAAGTCTAGAGTGAAAGGTTAAACAGTGTTTATGTTACATCCATTATTTAGTGGGAAGACGCAGCCTGCCACTGGAGAAACAGGAGCCAGGTGGAGCACGTCACGTATCACACACACACGTATCACACACACACATACAAACACAGCGACGTCCAGGTGCGATCACTCAGCTTCGTGGCCCCAGCAGAATAAACATAATGTGTCTGAGCGTGCGGCCATCAACTCGAAACGCTGCCGTGAGAATTTAAAAACTATTGCAACACAGTGGCAATCAAGCTCACATCAGTCTCCCAATTAATTTATGGAAATCACATTGTGCCCCAGAGAGGGATCGTGTTTAAATAGTTCAAACCTGAGCTCAGTTTTTTATTAGCTCGAGTAGCTGCAAGTAAACAACAAAATTCAACTCAATTAATGTTTCCTATACTGCAGCCTCACCTGAGATAAAATGAGTTGCCCGTGGTATTTCTCCACAAACACTCGGATGAAGTCGATGAAATATTTCTCTCCCACTTGACTGGCCAAGAACCTGAGGAGGAAGTAACCCTGGACAAAGACAAATAAAGGAGGCCGAGCATGATCCGTCAAGGACAATACAGAGAAACGTTGCAGCTGCATCTATCGTCATTACAAATGCTTTTTGCAAGCACATCCAACAAAGACGGCGCCACCTAACAGGATCCAAACATTCATCCCACCTTGAGGTAGTGGACTTGCATGAAGGTTTTGTCCGGGTTGAGGGCATGTTTAACAGTGGAGGAGCCGGACTCGCCGACCTGACCAGTGCACTCCAGGTTCGGTCTGCAGGAGGACCAACAGAGCAGGTAAACAAAATGAGACAGAAAGATAAGACAGCTTAGCAAATGGGCACAGACGGGGGGGGGGGGGAAGACATCCAAAACCCACAATATAAACAGGAAGGTGCACAGAAAACGACACGGGCAGAGAGCGGGATGGCTGGTGCTCTCAATCGCAAACACGTTGCCGAGTTGCCGTAGTCTGCCGGAGGCAGGGCGGGAAATCAAGCTGCAGATTTCTAATAGCGTGCTATACTGTTTATATGACCTCACGGCGCTGCGCTCTGACTGCCCATGACTCACTGAGCGGACATATAACACTAAACAAAAAAGCGCCCTGTCCACGGGCACAGGAGAGGCGCGCTCCAGCTTTTCCCTGTCACACAGATACTAATCATCCCTTCAACCTACATAAACACACATGACACCAATGAAAGGCAAACATCGTCCGCGCTGACGTGGGATGCTTTGCGATGATAGTTTCAGTTAGGTGGTATTGATCCGTCTGAGCAGATTAACTCAGTGTGCCAATAGGAAGGCCTTGAAGGATCACCCTCCTGCAGAGTCGATACGCCAGGCGCCTTGGCCCGCAAATCAATACACCCTTCATCACTGGCTAGCACTTTTCCACAGGACCGCTCCATGACGGGACCGGGGCCGGGCACACACACACACACAGATTAGGGTGGAAGACAAAAACGGGAGGAGGAGAAAATGCAGACAGGAGAGTTTGGTTTGCTCAGTAGACTGAGGACACCGTCTACTTCCTGAAATGTCGGAATTCTACTCGTCTCACATGTGAGAAAAAAAATTTAATTTGGGAAAATCCATTTAGGAATCATCTTTGTAGTGATGCTCAGCGTCATATGGATTAACTGTCACATTTGTTTGTAAGACTCAGACGCAACCTGCCTGCGAAAATAGCACGTCTTAGTTGTTGAAAAATGACCCTTTTACATTTTCTCAGTGTATCATGGCCACATATCTCACCCCTTTTTTGTATCGTTTTTAAAACATGCTCTCTGTCCACTCTCCTCCCCGAAGAGCCCATGTCGGTCTGTTGCTGCTGATAAGATGAAATTACTTTTTTTTGGAGACAGCAGGACGTGCGGTATCCCTTGGAAATTGTGTGTGTGTGTGTGTTTAAATGTGTGTCAGGCAGAGAAGTACAGGGAGAGAGAGAGAGGGGCACCGGGGCAACAGAATAAAAACAATGACAGAACAAGAAAACGTGCCGCTTTCCGGTGTCACAGATACTGGCGGCACAGCGCTGCGAGGAAAGATGTTGATCCATTGCTGCCGTGCTAGACAAAGGAACTCCACCCTTCCCGCTGTCCAGAACAGGCATGTTTGGATGTATAAAGCTCTGGCTTTTGCCACCTTTCTTTGTCTGAGATGATTTACTACAGCTTTAAGAGTCGCCGCTGCTCGCTGCCTTGGAGAATCCCACAATGGCTCAATGTATTGCAGAATAAACGGGGCTCTTATCTGGCTCGTAGGCCCTGTGTGCGAGGGGTTAGGTGTTTGTCTGTGTATGTGTGGAGTGAATGTGTGTGTGTGGTGGGAGGGACATGCATACACACGGGTGTGCCTGAGAGAGAAAGGAAAGTGCAGGGGGGAAATGAGGAGCCATTACTGACAGAACTTGATGTAAAACGTACGCGCACATACACGATCCGTGAGCCATATCCAGACAAATTACAATAGGGCGACTGTGGAACTGGATAAGGTGGAGCAGAGCTCCCAGCAGCCCGGTGAATCAGCGGGGAGAATGGTGTCTGGCCCAGGCTGCCCTAAATAGAACTCATCTGAAATGGACAGATAAACAGTGGCCACTGGGGCCCCTGCTAGATCAGGTGTCCAGCGTGACCCACTGAACTTGCAAAAGCACAATCTTCCATTCAGCCCTCGTGTGTGTGCTCTCATGTGTGTGTGTTGAGCGTATCACTCTGTACATCCTTTTGCTCTCCCGTTCCCTTCATCAGTACCGCTCTGACATTTCTCTCTGTGTGCACTGTGTGTTTACTCGTATTATGTTTTCCCAGAGCTGAAATGTTAAGCGGTGGAGCCACATCGAGAACTGGACAAACAGACACAGTAGCCGACATCAAAAAGTAGCGTGGCCCCTCCAAACTTTGGATTAAATCAGGACCCTAAGCCACACTTCCACCAATTCAGTTCAATTCAATTCGTCGCACATTAGTCTTAGCTTTTATGTGAGCAAAAGTTGCGGATGGTACCAAAAGTACAGTCCCCACAGTTGAGTCCTTGAAGGAAAAACCAGGGCAGTTTCATGGCGATCGGCTGAGAATCCCGCCTACCTCCGGTGCTACACTCATTAAGGAAAAGCACCTGGTGCCACAAGAAAGTCGGGTCAAACAGAGTCGTACCAAGCAGTGAAAACAAGGATTCAGGTTACATCTGACCTTCCAACAAACCTGATTTTATCCAGGTTTTATGTCCAGGAGAGGCAATAACCATCACAATTAACAGTTATGCTGACACAGTACAAATCTATACTAAAGATATGTTGATCATATGCACATACTAAACATCTAAATGAACACACAGCTGTCCATGGACATCATAAACAATTGCTAACAGCGTTGACTGGATTGGGGTCAAAGTCATTGGCCAGAGATGAACATGTGACAGAGACCCTGCTTGAACTGAGATGAGCTGCCTTGAGGCGGCGGCTCCGTTTGGATCCTAGTAAATATTGAGCAATAAGTCATCACGTATTGGCAACTGTATACTTCATATTTGGTTCAGTGCATGCTTGCCCTAAGGCACATTTCACATTTTTGCATTTTTGGCTGACGGGATGGGCTCTGAGACTCTCAGTTACACGGCAACTAATTAGATATAATTGAACCCCGACTGTATTTTCCATATAATTAGTCTAAAATTACATAGTTATTTTCCATTAAACTTTTTGGGGAAATAATTCTGAAATTGCAAACCAGCCGACTCACAAACAGCACGCAGTCATTTAGATAACGTGAAGGCAGCGTTCCTTTCTGCCTCAACATGCTCTAAAGTTCCTTCAAGAGATGTGGGGACAAACAATTGCTTTCCCGTGTGTAGCTTTAGGAATTATATGCTTTTTTTGCCACTTATGGGCTCCTGTCATTTCCCCCACACTGCAAGGTAAGACAACCCGTACAAATGTGCCCATTCATGCGTATGAGCATGTACGTATGTGCATATGGGCGCAGGAATGTGTTATTTGCATTTTTCAGATGTTTCCTGTGTGTTCCCTCCTTGACCCTGTCAGGTGTAGAGAAACCTGATGCTGGTCTAATCACCCGTGCGTCTGCCTCCGTAGGGAACACCCGGATAGAATGCCAGACAGACACATATCTCAAGCGCATGTTAAACCCTTTCACTCAAACACAGAATCTTCCCCCGAGAGTCAAAGTAACCTATTCTAGCTTCATCGTGCAACAACATACACTGGAGGTTACCAGCATACGATTATGAAAAGAACAAAGTAGAAAGAGTAAGTGTTTCATTGTGTGAAGTCGACACATTAGTGACATAGTCGACAAGTTGGTGCCAAGGAGACGTGCCACGAAATCTATAACATATTGATTGGCTGCCAGGCTTTTGCACGGCCTATTACGAGTGTGAATGACAATATGCTACAAGTGTCATCCCCAGTGAAGCCTTTTTATATTCAAAGGAAGAGCTCCAAAAAAAACAAGTCACAGTGCATTTCCAGCCTTAAACAGTTAAATCACGGATGGGGTTTACACCCGTAATCCCCTGATGACATCGTGCTTTCACCGGGGATAAAACCAAAAGGGAGTGGGCCCCACGTCGTCAGGTGGAGAGCTGGTGCGGTTGTGTGTACTCGCCATGCTTGTGTGCAAAGCTTTTCTAAGACATGACAGCACACCTCGATATACTCGCCACACCTGCCGCACCTGTACCGCTGGAATGCATGTACCTGACGTGTGCGTCTGCACATGCAGACACAAAGAAAACTTCTCAGGGTGTGTGAAAGAGAGAATCTCAACCACTGAAACAGTAGCAGGAGTAGTTAACTAGTCGATGTGGCGTCCTTTGCACATGTTGAACTAGGGGGGGGGGTTTGCTAAACCTCTCAGTGGGGAAGACGATTAGCAGTCAGCATCTGTTGGTCGATTCCTTCTGCATTTAGTGCATATCGTGCGGTGTTCTGCTTTAAGCATGCTTATTGGATGTGCCGTTTCTCTATTAGGAGCTGTGTCTTCTACAGTGGCAACAAAAGTATCGTATTTAAAACAGACGTACTTGAGAAAAAAAAAAAAGAAAAAAAAAACTCACCTGAGAACTTGAAGTTGCTGCTCGGAGTTCTGCAACTCATCAGTGAGACGTCTGCACCTCAGCAGTGCCTTCAGGTCAGACTGATCTGCAGTCTGTTGTAACGAGAGCTGAAGGCAAAAAAACAGAGTTATCAATGACGTGAGGAAAAGGGTCTTGGTGGAGTGAAGAATTCTGATAAGTAAAAGAAAATAGGTGATTTTCATCAGCTAGAACAGAAGGAGTGGAAAGCACACTGCAAATACAAGCAGACCTGCTGCTGCCTGTGACACTGTGTCTTATCGAGTTTGGCAGCAATAACAAGTCTGCTTTCATCTTTTCCGTCGGAGCAAAGCACACATTAAAAAAAGGGACGTGGTTAAAGAGCACAGGCATAAGAAAAACATTTGTGTAACTCTAGAGAGTGTGGGAAAGTAAGTGGGAGAGATCTGTATTATCTCGTCACCTCTGCAATTAAACGAATGATTCATACAATGCTTCACCCTTATTCTTTTCTCCTGCAGTTTCCCTTTAATTTTCTGTTGTTATCCTGAATCAACATTATGATAAGGACACAATCTCCAAACTGTGTCTAAGTAGAACCTTTTCACGACTCTGGAGCGGCTCGGCTTCTCTAGTGTTTTTGTCTCTATGGGAAGCTTGACGGTGTAAACTCTTTACTCTTTAGTTCCGTTTGGCCAACAGCACTGACCTTTAAGTATCTTCTTTGTGCTTTTTGTTTTGGGGGTTGGCATTGGATTGGTATTTTTATGAGTCGTCTCCTCGTGTGCCTAATACATGGGTTTACTGCAGTAATGCGATCACAACTCTGCTTGACGTGCATTCCAACCACACCAGTAACATTTGGGTATCTGGCAAATGTTTTCCCGAGTTGTTACATTTTACCATAACAGATAGATAATAAGTATACATGAAGAATAGAGGAACTTTTAGACAATGTCAAGAAAAACAAAATGAATATATCATATATATTGTTTGTTTTTTTTATTCATATCAGGCTCGCAGTTGGTTCTGGTCGTTTCAATGTTGGCACTTAATTATCACATTTGCCCCCTTGGTGTGTTTGTGCGAACACTGCAAGCCCAGTCCAAAGGAAGGAAACCACTACCATGCGAGAATAAATTGTTCTCTTCTTCATTAAGGAGGACCGGCACCGTGTACGGCCAATAGTTTTCAGTGTTTTCATGTGGTCACATGGTTTGGAGACAACTGCTCCAAACATGCTTGGTGTGAATAAACGATTCCTACGGTTCTTTTCTCTTCATTGACGGATTTATAGTAAGATAATGTTGCTCACTTAATGAAAACGTTGTCAAGATGGCCACGGTAAAATGGACTTCACAAGCTGGTGTTTGTTCTCGTCGCTATTTGAAATATCGGTTAGTCCTTGAGTGACCATTAAGTTCCTTTGATAGAATAGCTGCTGGAATCTACAACCTTCAGGGACGGACTTTACTGTACTTGTTTTGCTTGGGCCCAGATAATGTCCTCCAGGTAGGTCGCGAAGCCCTCGCTGATCCACTCTTCAGTCCAATCTCTGGCTCCGATCAGCAGGCCGAACCAGGAGTGGGCGATCTCGTGGCAGATCCTGGACCCGCACAGGGACAGGGCGTCCTCTCTGGGACCAAAAGTCCCAGCGCAGAGCACACTCTGGGAGAGGAATATTATGTGGGGGCTGTGGAAGACAAATGACAGAAATATAGACTGACCGAGGGAGATGGAGCCATAAATAAAATATAAAATGGAGGAAAAGAGAAAGGAAATGAGTGACGGACGAAAGGGAAGAGATAAGAGGATGGCAGAATAAAAATGGTTCAAGGAGGAAGTGAGAGAAAAACTAGAAAATACAGGAGAGGGGAAAACTGGACCATCCTCCAAAGACATCAACCCCACCTATGATTACATGTGCTTACTGTACGCCCCAGGTACGAATCCCTTTTACCATCTTCTACATTATTATTATACTCATCAAATGTTCTTGATGACTTCAGGTCAGTAGTTCACATTTTAGGGTTGAAGAAGATACACGTTGTCATGATATATATATTTTTTACAATAAAATAAAAATTAAACTAAAGCCAGCCACTTTAAATATATTTGTATTTTTAAATTAATATTAAAACTGATATAATTATCTATATTTAGACAATGATAAACAATTGATTTTAATAACTGACAAATTTATTGACAAATTAAGCTAATTGAGATTTACCTTGACCTCTTCCTACAAAGAAATCAAACATGTGGCTATGAAATATTTAAGATTATGTAAAATTATTTTAAAATAAAATACTGAAGGGTGTGCAGATATAATAAAGGGTGTTTGCAACGTTCACATGCTAAAAACAGCTTTTTAGCAAATAACAGGAGTTTATGAAGCTCTGAACAAAAGCTGAAGAGGAAATACCAAAAGCTGTGAGGCACTAAAAAACGGTTACACATACGAGATGGTAAATACAGTTCCATATAGAAAACGCTTTCCCTCGATTCCATTTTAGATAACTTGTTGAACGGACCAATAATTTGGTTTTACCTTCAACTTTTCACCTCAATCAAAGAACTATTAGGTATGACACGGGTTTGGAAAGTTCCTCTCACTGCACACAATTGTTGCCAGAAGAGGACATTGAGCTGTTGAAGTGGAATTGGCGCGGCCACACAGAGCATTCAGATGAGTATCTAGGGAACAGTTTGCTGGTAAAATCATAGCGTACTAAAAGGTTTTCTACAACACGTCGGAGGTTTTTCTTCAAACGGAGAACTCTAAAATAAAAAGAAGAGTTCAACGTTTGGGATTCCATCAGCTTTTGTTCACAAGAGCTATATTAAAAAAACAAAACGTGAGTGCTTACACAAAGTCTACAGCCATGCTAGGGACTCTTTGAAAGTCTAAAGGCGCCACTGTGCCAATATTCTCACAATGAAAATGCCAACAAGTGTCCACCATGTAAACCCTCTTTCTCTTGTATTCTAGCATGTGCTGATTAGCACAAAACGAAATAAACCACTCACCAACATTGCCGCGCTCATGGCTCAAAGGATACCTCAGTTACATTTGGCCATTTTGAACCATCATGTTGAACTACATCCATTTGCTTTGTGATATTACAGAATATCTGTCTGAATAACTGGTAATGACGATCAGCTTCCCAGGCACAGGAATGAAAAGACATGTGATTTTCACCCACGAGAGAGAACTGGTAAGAGCAGGACCAAAAAAAGCCACGGTCACAGCTGGAGACGACGTCCTGGAGCCCTTTTTTTTACGTGCGTCTTATGCAACGGGCCCCGTGCGCCCTGAGGGGCTTAGGGCCGACTGTGCCGGAGAGGCAGGCCATTCTTCACAAGAAGAATGGGTGAGGGGTCACAGAGGTGCCAATGAATGGTCTCTCTCTCTCTCTCCTGGCCCATAAAACAACACCGGATTGTCTGGAGTTCCCCTCGCGCTCTCTAGATCGTAAGTGTCCGCGCCACTATTGACTGATAACGACCTGAGAATTTACGGCAAAGTGCAGGTCCCGACTGAGCAGTGTTTTTCAAAGGGTCGTGTCACCCTACTACTGTGTCAAATATGTTAAAGATGCACCTACATGGTGGGAGAGACGCCTTTGCCGCTCTGTTCCACTTTGTTCTAGTCCGCTTCCTTAAGCGGCGTCGATATGTTAAACACACTCGAACATCGTGCACCAATAAAAGCACACAATACAGTGTTTGCGTCTAAAAAGTAATAAAGAGCGGTTTTACCTCCGAGTAGACACAGCAGCGATTATCCCCTCACATATTAGATTGATAGTCTACTAACATGAGCCGCTCTCTATAATGAAAGATTAGCATCTTAGAAAAAAGCAGATGACATAATCGAATTATTGTGACAAGACAATTATAAACGAAAACGGTGATTTAAGACATTCAGTCCAGGTCCGTCAGGCTATTTTTAAGGAAAACAAAAGTGTATATCTGAACAACACAAACGCTCTGCACGTCCCAGAGGATTGTTTTCTCAGATAGTAGGCAGGCTATTGGCCTTTGTTACTCAGGAACATGTCAACATTATACAAAAGGGTCTTATGGGCATCATTTCCGAGACACCATCTCAAACCTAATCCCGTGTTTTTTTCCTGATTACACAAACAAAAGCTCTCGCTGGAGCACGGGATGCTAACATTAGCCTTATGAGTTTCTTTGTAGCCTAATCTTATTCCCCCACAATTGGATAAGCAAGCCTTTGTTGTCAGCTCCAGCAGTGCGTTATATGCCTGCGTGTGTGTGTGTGTGTGTGTGTGAAACACAAAGACAGCCTTTCAGAGACGGCGCTTGCACATGCTCCTCTGGAGGGATGCGGAATCCATCACTACAGTGATAAATAGTGTCATCCCACCACGGTGGGGGTGAATAAACAACAGCATCTTTCACATTCACTGACACAGAGAACGACATTAGTTGACATCAGGGACCCGTCAGGGACAACATGCATGAAGAGACATGTGAAAACACATGCACAGATATGTAGCACCTCCACATTAGGCAAACATCTCAGGGGCTGAATGTTCGTCCCGGATTAACAAGCAACTGTTTCTGTGCTTCTTTAAAAAAAGAAAGGTGTCAGGCATTCATTTGTGTATGTTTCGCAAGTGCAAATGCAACTTAAAAAGCAAATGATTCACGGAAGACGGGAATCAAACCAAACAATTACAATCAATCAAAAGCATTAAGTGATAATACTGCAACTCCCGCAAATTGTGTGGTCAGATTATAGTCTTCTACACTTGTTGCAAACACCCTCACAAAGGGGACATTGTTTGAGGGGTTTTGTAGTACAGGATTAGAATGTAGCGTTTATTTTGTTCATCAGGGGATTTATTGTAATTAAATTAAATCGTCACAGATTTTGGGACATCCCACTACGAGAAGGAAGTCCAGAGTTGCCTTCTACTTTCAATATCCCCCCTTTGACGGTACGTTTAATAGATAGCAATGTCATAAATGTTTATTCAAAGATATGTTGCATTATAAATTAAGAAACGGACATTTGATTCGGACTCTAACAACTTCTTAATGGCTGCACATTTGTTGGTGTTTAATTAATTAATAAATTAATAACTGAGAGCCTATATAGAGTCATGTTACTTTGTCCTGTCTCACGTCTGTTTTGGATTCATTTGCCCTTTGGGTGGAATACGTATTTACTATCTTCCTTACTTGAATTAATTAATGAAATGGATCTCTGGAGTCAAATCATTTCTTTTGTCTTAAGGCTCGTAGAAAACTACATGAATACGCTGAGAAACTCACACACAAGTGCATGCATGGGAACCCTCTTTTATATATGTAAAAACGTGGTGCAATGAATTCATATCCAGGAGGCGACAAACAAAAGTTATTGACAATGAGAGGCAGTCTGTATTTAGTATCACAGACATGGACCTCAGGTGACCTGATGGTGATGCTGCATCATCGCAAAAAATTAAATGCTCATTAAAGCCCTCCTGTGCTTTCTCACACGCCAACCTCACGACTCACGAGTCACCCAGGGTGACTTGGCCTTGAATTTCGGAGCTGTACGTCAAGGCAAGTCTTCAATTTGGTGTGACACAGATTGTAATAGTGTTTCGTTCCTCCATCTCTGCATCCATTATTCATCCCTCCATCCATCCTTGCTGGCTGTAGGCCATTTTTCCCCCCCAGCGGGACACTGCCATGCATAATGCAGCAGGGACCCTATCATAGTTCTATAATTGACATCCCTAGCCCAGCTAAGCTCATAGACACCAGTAAACCAGCCCCACGAGACGCAGGGACGAGGAGAAAGATGATGGGAGCCGAGTGTGCGACGTATGCGTGAATGGGAGGCAGACAGATGGAGAAAAACAAGTAAAGGAGATGCCTTTTTTTTTTAAATATGAGAGAAAGAAGCATTTGGAAAGTGAATAAACATTTGATCTGTTAGATACTGTACTTATTGAGAAAGAGAGAGAAAGAATAATTTTGTCTGTCACTCAGTGATGAGTTTTTCTCCTCCCCAAAGTACAGTGTCAACTCCCCGGTGTGAGCGCTGAAGAAACGTAGAACCAGCGACACAGACGCTGTTAACGCATTGCTGGTGAAGCTTCACACATCTTGTTTTTGCATGCTTTTGCACAGGGATGCAGTTATGGATCACACGTTCAATGAGGTGAGGAGACAGACAGAAGCCACCCAAGGTAAAAACACAGCAAACGTCATGCTTCAGCAAACAGCTTTGCCTGTTCTCTTTACTTTTGTATCCAAGCAAAGGTTGGAGGACCGGCCTTTCCTGATGTCAACTGACGGGAAGACGTCAGTTGTCTCCTTTACCTCACCCTCTGTGGGCTATTTTAGACACAGGGGCCTATTTGACCAAACTCCTACCAGCCTCCGTTCTTTTTTTCTTTTTTTCTTCACAAGTCTGACTTCAAATGTCTGGCATTCCATGCTGGCTGCAGATCAGCTCTCCGCTCCCAGACGGGGCCCCACAGGGCCAAGCCAAATGCCACGCCATGTAGGGCCTGATCATGTGAACAGGGGCCAGGCCGGGGGCCCCCAGAGAGCCGCCCCACCCACACATACTGCATCCCATCACAGCCTGCAAATAAATAGCAGAAAAGATATCCGAGGTCATCAAGAACAAGCTGCTCAAAGTCTGTCGAAAAAGAGGCT